ATATATATATATTTGTATATATAAACATATATATATATAGATATAGATATAGAGATATATATATATATATATAATAGAGTCGGAGCCCGTCGACCAGCTGCCACTAGTCCCCATGGGGGCCCCAGGGCCCCCGGGACGTCCCCATGGCCGCCTCAATGGCTCCCAGGCAGCGCTGGAGGCCGCCAAGATAGCCCAGACAGCCCAGAGTCGCCAAACATTGCTCCAAGACCCCTAAGAGGTCCTCGAGAAAGCCTGGGAGGCTTCCAAGTCGCCCCAAGAGGCCTCCAACCGCACTCTCTCTATGGCCCCGCGAAGCAAACTGTTTTAGTTCCCAGAGGTTTGTGAATGAGTTTCGTCATCCCGCTTGTCCGCCCCAAGACGGCCTCAGAGGCCTCCTCGGGGGGGCCAGGACGGCCCAAGAGGCGCCCCAGACGGGCCCACACGCGTTGAAGACGGCCCCAGAGAGCACCCTAAACGGCCCAAGGCATTCCCAGGAGGCTCCAGAGAGCCCCCCAAATGCCCGAACAGAGGCGCCCTCTGCCCCAAGAGGCCCCCAGGAGGCCCGAAGAGACTCCCAGGAGGCCTCCACGACGCCCCGAGAATCCCCAAAAGGGCTCCAGAAAGACCCGAGAAGCTCCAGAGAGAACCCCCCACTGAGCTCGCAGGGGACCTCTACACAGACCCTCAGAAGCCCGCCAGAAGCCCGCCAGAAGCCCTTCGTCCTCCATGCTCTGGAACAGCCCTTCGGAACACGTGGCCCTGGCTGCACCCCCCGACCTGCCCACCCAATGTCGAGGCCCGAGGACGCCCCCATGACGCCTGCAAGACGCTCTGGAAACGCCTCTCCCGCACACGTGGACCAGGTGACAATGATGCTGATCGTCGGTGGTCCGTCGTCGTCGTCGTCGTTGTCGTCGTCGTCGTCATCGTCGTCGTCGTCGTCGTCGTCATCGTCGTTGTCGTCGTCGTCGTCGTCCGAAAATAGTAGAACAAGTCTGGGGACGACTTTTCGATTATTTTTTGACCATTCCTTGGTATTTTTTGAATATTCTAATTCTTCCTCCAAAACCCACCTGTAGGGGGACGCGCCCGACTTGAGTTCAAGGCTTGCCCGTCGGATTCGCCCATCCGCGAGCGCCCGAGGGCCAGGTGGGCGCCCGCCCGCGGAGGCCCCGACTCCCTTCGCTGCGGCGCGGACCTCTCGAGCCGAGACCGTCGGCGGCGTTCGAGTACAGTGGGGGCGCGCATCAAGAAACCGTATGCTCCTCGTCAGGGTATGCTGGGTTTCTTCGCTCCTCGCGCTGCGCGGTGGCTTCCCGCGGTCGTTGAAGGAGCTGCTGCGTGCAGGGTGCTCCAGGCTTCCCTCAGGGTGCACATCGCGCACGGGTTCTCAGGGCTGGGCTTCTCGCGAGGGTATCTCGCGGCCGCGCCCGCACTGTATCTCGGGAGTATGCGGGCGGATTTTTTCCGCGAAGCTCGGAGCCAGTCGGCATTGGGTCGCTGGAAGTGCGGTCTCTTTCCTCAGAGATCAGTGGAGCGAGGTGAAAACGACGTGCAGTTGTTTATGTCGGGCCGCTCAGTCTGTGGCCACACAGGCCGAGCCCCCTTCCGTGTCTGCCGGGTCCCGCCGAGACCCCACGGCGAGGCCCTCCTCGCTCGCGACCTTGAGGTTGTGGAGGGCGGGAGTGCGAGGTGCACTTGGTGCCGCAGGTCGGCCAAATCTCCCCTCGCGCGAGCTCCGTCGGAGCTGCCAGGTGACAGGTGCGAGCCGACGCCGCTGCACTTGTACTTGACGGCGGTGAGGGCCGAGCGGCAGTGGGGCGCGGTGCGCTGCGAATCTCTCTAGCCCTTCAGGAGCTGGGCTCCATGTCTGCTGGCCTGCACGCGCAGGCCCTCGCGGCCTTCGAGTTCCGAGGCCACCCCGTCCAGCCTTCGGGCGAGTGGCTGCCGTGCCGCCGCCGCGGCGCCCGCGCCTCGGCCGAGAGCCCCCCGTCTGGAGGGGCCTGCTCGCCGAGCGCCGCGGCCGGTCCGGGCGCGGCTCGGCGCAGTCCCGGCGCATTGCCGCTGCGCCGTCTGGGCGCGAGGTCCGCCAGGGGGCGACGCGGCTGGCTGGCAGCGGCTGCGGCCGCGGTGCTGTCAGCTGGCTGCCGCAGCCCCGTAGCAGTCCTCGGCCTGCGCGCGCCAGCGCGTGCTGGACCACTGCGTTGGGAATCCAGCCCGTGCCCCTTCTGCCTGCCGGCCCTCATTCGAATCGGATTATGTGCCCCGGCCTGTTCCCTGTTCCCCCCTCCCTCCCTGCCTCCCCCACGTTGCTCCTTCTTCGAGATGAGGTGTCGTGCATGTCCCGAATTCTCAAGTCTGTTCACCTATCGGGGTGTTCGGTTGGCAGATTGATTAGTCACATATGCCCCTTGCAGTGGGCCCTGCGATGGATTTTTTGGAGACCGTCGCTGCTGCGGTGATCACAAGTGTTATCCCCACACTTTGTCGGTGATTCGGGAAGCACGTCGTCTTTGTTGCTGGGGCGGAGCCTTGGCGAGAGCGACGCTGCTGTGGAGGCCATCAGCACGGTGGGTGCATGGACGCAGTTCCACAGCACATCCGTGCATCCGACGGACCTTCCTTGATGGCGGGTATCGATCGGCAGAGTGGCGGGATGTGACTCGCGGAGTGGGAGAAGCTGGAATCAGCAGTACTTTTTCTGATGGCCTGGTGGGGGTTTAGGAAACCCGCTCACCACCCTTGTTTCTTCAGTGGTTTGGGCATAATTGTTGCGCATACATGTGGGCTATTGATATTAATGTCGCCATGCAAGAAAGCGAAAGCAACACGAGCATGCTGTTGTTAACCCCTTGCAGGAGTTCTCTGAGAACGCACGGGGCGCAACTAAGGGCGTGCTTTCCCCGCACGCCCGAGGAGCACTTCATGATAGCCTGCATGTGAGGGAACAGCGGGGCGACAGTGGCAGGGCTGCCACCGCAGTACGCCCACCTGAGCCTTGACCTGTTGCCAGGGAATCCCTCCTCCTCCTCCTCCTCCTCCTCTTCCTCCTCCTCCTCTTCATCCGCATCATCCCCTTCCGCCGCATCCTCATCCTCATCCTCTTCCTCCCCCTCCTGTTCCTCCTCCTCCTTCTCCTCCTCCACTGGGTAAGACGGGAGGCGTCAGCATTGCCTTCGGTCTGCATTGCTTCGCACTCGGGGGGAGTTAGACGGCTTGATGATGTACTTGTATTGTGGTGTAATCTTGTTCGAGATTGTCCTTCCCCGAAGGCATCGTCGCTTCAGGTCTCCGTGGTCATAGTCCACTGAGCTCGGAGAGGCGAGAGGGTTCGTTTAGGACAACGTCCTGGGACTCTTACTCTTTCTCTTACTCTTCCTCATCCTCTTCCTCTTCCTCTCGTAGTGATTTTGGCTCAAGCCGTTTTTTTTTGCACCCTGCGCTACGCACCAGACCCGAAAGGATGGCGAGCCTCGCGGGCATCCGTCTCCCGGCCGTCGGCGGGGGGCTCCCGCGACTAAGGCCGGCGCCAGCCTGGGCAGAGCCTGCGCCGAGGCAACCCTCGGCTCCCAGGACGACCCGCGGGCGCCCTGGCGCGGGCAGGTGGCTCCATCACTCCGTGCCGCGCCAGCCGTCTGGCGGCCCCCCCGCCGGCGGGATCCGCAGGCCCCTTGGGATTCGTCGTCCCGAGCCTCCAGCCTCATTGGCTTTCAGCCGCTTTCCAGAGACAGAGGGGCTCTTCACGGGGATCTCCAGGCCTCGCCCCGGCAAGAGCACGTCTGGCCGGTACGCTGCCAACCAGTTCGCGCCGCCCGAGCTGTTGCCCAGAACGGAGCTGGCCGGCAGTTTGGCAATGAGTGACCACACGAGCGACAGCGAATCGACCTCCGACCTCTTGGAGGCTTCCCCGAAATTCTCCAAGGCGGGCGCGGGACTCAATCAGGCCAGCGCGATGGCCAGCGAGGACGAGGGGCCCCCCAATTTGCAGGGAATCGCCCGTCCTACCGGCAAGCCCGTCCGGCCAGAGGGCACGCCGTCCGACCTCGCCGACCGCACGAGGTCCCCGAGCCGCGCGGGCCCGGGCCACCTTGGCAGGGAGCAGGCGGGGCGGCCCACGCGCCCGCACTCGCGTGCCGGGCGTGCCCAGACGTTCGGCAGTGAGCCGGCGCCCGCCGTGCCCCACCCCGGCAGCGGCAGGAGGCCGCTGTCGGCGAGGTGCAGCAGGCGCCCGCGTGAGCTGTGTTAGGGGGCGGCGCAGGAGCAGCTCTGGATATGCCAGCCTGGACCATGTCCCTGTCCCTATAGGACTGGCACCACCCGATCTCGATGCCGGTCCGAAGGGTTCCCTCAGTTTCCGAGGGCGCATCCCTGACATCGCCTGTGGGTCGCCTGTGCAGTGCCGTTTTTAATCCATGCTCCGCGTGCGGATCATGTATTAAAAGTGCAGGGGTTCAGCATTTAAAAACGACGAGGAGTTCATGCATAAATTTATTCGTGAACTAATCATGCGTGGGAAATCCTACATGTTTAAAAGTCCCATGTATTAAAAACTGCCCTGGTAGGATCGAGGCTGGCTGCGAGGCGGCAATGCAGGGGAGCGGCTGGGCAGGGTCCGAGGCCGCGGGCCGCGCCGCGGGCCGTCCCTGACGAGGGCAACCGCTGGGGCTCTTTGTGTATAACCCGCGGGCCCGAGGCGGGCGGCCGGCGCTCGGCAGCCGCGAAAAATCGCGCGGGGCTCCAGCGGCAGAGGCGGTGGCCGCTCGAGGTTTCGCGCGCTGCCGAAGGCGGCGTGGCCCGGCCGGCGCGCGGCCCGTCGGGCCAGGGCCTCGGCCCCTCGTGGCACTTATTACGAGCTCGGGGGTGGACAGAACCCCCAACAGTGGCACGTCGAGTAGTGAATTGTCCGTTCTCGGTTCTCGAGAGGGCCCCGTGGCCGTTATTTTCCAGGCTTGCGCCCGCCAGGTTTGGGCCCCAGGTCGTTTTCACCAAGCCACGTTTTACGAAAGGGAGGTCTGTCCATCCCCGATTAGCCTCTAGCCCCTGGCTTCGTGTTTTCTTCTTGGCTGCTCCTCCGAGTTTTTCGCGAGGATGCCTGCGTCGAATCGCCGCCGCCCTCTGCCTTTTGGATCCGCCCACGTGGCCAAACGTTGGTCCAATGTTCGGCCAAGTTATTGGGCTGCGTGTCTGGGTCGTCGTAGCCCGTCTGATGCTGCAGTGGATTTCTCAAATCGCTTCGCTCACTCCGCCGGCCCTTATTGTGCCATCGCAGGCGTTTGCCTGCGCGTTCGTGGCTCTTGGAGGCCGTTTGGGGCCCCCTTGGGGCCTCTTTTTGGGCCTCTCGGCGGTATTTCTGAGACCTCCTGGGGCGTCACGGGGGCCTCTTGGGTTCCTCTCGGGGGTCTCTTGGGGCCTCTCGGGGGCCTTTTGGGGGCTTCTTGAAGGCCTCATGGGGCCTCCAGGGGACCTCTCTGCGCCTAGAGCTCGAAATGTCCGTTCGGGTCCCCCGTCTGGGCTCGCTCTTGGAGCCGTCTTGGGAGGATTTATTGTAGCGCTCTTCGTTCGAGGATTGAGGCTCGTTGAAGCAGAGTGGGCAGGGGGAGGAGGGGGGAGAGGGGAAAAGAAGGAGGAAGAGGAGGAGGAAGGGAAGGATGAGGAGGAGGAGGAGGAGGAGGAGGAGGAGGAGGAGGAGGAGGAGGAGGAGGAGGAGGAGGAGGAGGAGGAGGAGGAGGAGGGGAGGATAAGGATGAGGAGGAGGAGGCCTCTCGATTCCTGTCTTGATGACTTTTTGTTCGAGGATTGAGGGTCGTTGACGCAGAGGGGGGAGAAGGAGGAGAGGGAAGAAAGAGGGAAGGGTTGGTGAGACGATAGGAGGCCTCTCAGGGGCCTCTTGGCGGTATTTTTGGGACCTCCTGGGGCGTCACGGGGGCCTCTTGGGGGCCTCTTGGGGTCTTTGGGGGCCCCTCGGGGGCCTCTTGGGGGCTTCTTGGGGGTGTCCCGAGGCCTCGAAGGGACATCTCTGCGCCTAGAGCTTGGAGAGTGTGGTTGTCATGCAGGCCACAGTACTCTCCAGCCACTTGGTCGTCGATAAGGGCAGCACGCCGTTTTTTTTTTTTTTTTGCTGGGGTGGAGCCTTGGCGAGAGCGTTCGACGGGGAGAGGGCACCACGTCGAGTTCTGCACGGCGAGGTTGTGATGTTGCCCCCTTCTCTCCTGTCTTTCCCTTCCCCCCTCCCTGCCTCCCCCATTGTGCTCCTTCTTCGAGATGAGGGGTCGTGCACGTCTCCGAACTCTCAAGTCTGTTCGCCCATCTGGGTGTTCGGGTGGCAGATTGATTGAGGTCACCCATGCCCCTTGCAGTGGGCAGTGGGCCCTGCGGGGATTTTTTGGAGACCGTCGTTGCTGTGCTAATCACAAGCATTATCCCGCTACTGTGTCAGTGATTCGGGAAGCACGTCGCATTTTCTGCTGGGGCGGAGCCTTGGCGGGAGCGACGCTGCTGGGGAGACCGTCAGCACAGTAACAGGTGCACAGGCGCAGTTCTGCAACACATCCGTACATCCGACCGACTGTCCTTGATGGCGGGCATCGATCGGCGGGGTGGCGGGATGTGACTCGCAGAAAGGGGGAAAGAGTGGGGGGGGGCAGGAGGAGGCGCGGGGAAGGAGGAGCCGCCTACGGGCCCTTGGCTAAGACAGTGCCCACGCAGGCAGCTCCAGCCGCAGCTGGCGCTGTCCGTCGCGGCTCCGCGCTTCCCGACCACTGTTAGGCCTGCGGCTTGCCTGGGGAGCCGCGTGTCCCCGGCAGTGAGCCCAATATTCTTCCCTCTCGCAGATTCACCATCGCAGAGTTCCTCCCCGTCCGCACCCCAACCCCTGCCTGTCCACCCTCCATTCCTCTGCCAGCACCCTGCGGAGACGGACGCCGGGGTAGAGCCCCGGCGCTTTTGGTTGTTGGGCCCAGTTGCAAGAGTCGACGGGTCGCTCAATGGGCTGCCCACGCAGGCACTTCCAGCCGCAGCTGGAACCGTCCCTCGCGGTTCTGGCGGCGGATTTTTCCCGACCCTTCTTGGGCCTGCAGCATGCCTGGGGCGCCGCACGCCCCCAGCAGTGGGTCCAAGATTCGGCCTTCTCGCGGGTTCGCGAGCGCAGAGCTTTTCCCCGTCATCACTCCGACCCTCGCCAAATCACACCGTCCCTGCATCCCCTGCCCGTCCACCCTCCCTCCCTCCCTCTGCCAGCACCCCGCGGAGACGGACTGGGGTGGAGCCCCACTTGCACGTCGACGGGTCGCTCTCAGGGCTCGCGATTCTCGGAAGGCGAGCACGGAAGCCGCCAAATCCCCAGGAAGCGTAGGACCCCGCCACGAGAAACAAGTGTTCAGAAAGCCGCCACGAAACCGGGAGGGGCACTTCAATTGAAAATAACGTTCACATTTGATGCCAGGTTCACAGCTGAACAGATTATTGGAAGCATGTCAGAGATACCGTATCATGAGCGATGATATCGAGAGAGAGAGGGAGAGAGAACAGGCGGAGGGGGATAAGTAGGCATAAGAAAAGGACTTGAGGTTTGGCCCCGCGAAGACCACTACAGCACTCCACGCGTGCAGAGGACTTTCAAACAAACAGGGCCCGGTGACCTTCCGCTTCGTGCCTCGGGGCCTCGTGCCTCGGTGTACGGTGGCTGGCCGCCCCGCCGTTTTCTCTGTCCGCCCAGCTCGTCGGGCGGCGAGCAGGCCGGGAGGAGGAGGAGGAGGAGGAGGAGGAGGAGGAGGAGGAGGAGGCGGAGGAGGAGGAGGAGGCGGAGGAGGAGGAGGAGGAGGAGGAGGAGGAGGAGGAGGAGGAGGAGGAGGAGGAGGAGGAGGAGGAGGAGGAGGAGGAGGAGGATCAGCGCGTGGTTGGGAGACAGGGAGCGTGCACCAAGAAAGAGCCGCCTCCTGTGGAGGGGTGGGGACTCCAGGCAGCACGCGAGGGCCATCGACCTTTCGGCTTGGGCGAAAGTGGCCCACGCGCCTTCTAGGCAAGCAGTGAGTGGAATCCGACTGGCTATACTTGCAACTGGAGTGAATTGATGCCACGCAGAAAGTGTTGCAGACGATGACGCAGGGAAGCACCTCACCTCCTGTGAGGCTCTCGACCTGCCTGGTCAAACTCTTCACAAACATTGAATTGAAGCAACACAAGGAGATCGGGGAAGACTAATCCCGCGGACATCTCCGCTCCAACAGGTCAATTCATCATTATGCGAAGCCTTTGCCCCGCCACAGTCGTTCCGCGAGGTCTCTGCCCCGCCCCAGACCACATACCAGAGACACTGCAACACTTGGCATCATGCACAACTGATTCTGCTGGCCAGCCACATCGAAGGCTGGCAGAAAAGGCGAAACATTGTTGATGAAAACGCGATGGACTTCAGCGCTGCGGTGGGCGTCGGCCTTGTCGAACTTGACATCGCAACCCTTCCACCAGCCCATGTTGTCAGACTTCTTTAGCAAGTCAGCGCAGTCCTTCTCCACAGCCTTGCCGTTCTCGACGACGCACTCCTTCCACCAGTCCATGTTGTCAGACTTCTTTAGCAAGTCGTCGCCCATCCAGCCGGAGACTGGCATAGCAGGCGTGGCCTTCTCGTCGAAGTTCTTGTTCCACCCGTCCTTGACCAGCATGATATTCATTTCTTTCGTGATTTCGGCATAGCGGAACTGCTTGTATCTGTGGGTGACGCAGTCCTTGCCGAACGTGACATCGCAGCCCTTCCACCAGCCCATGTTGTCAGACTTCTTCTGCAGGTTGTCGTCCTTGTTGATGTCGCGATGGCCTGGGGCATCGGTGACGACCGTGCAGTGCCTCTTCTCGGTGTAGAAGCCTTGGGTGGTGCAGGCGCTGGTCACTCCGCACTCGTGCTCCTCCTTCTCACTGTCTGTGTAGAACGTGAAGGCGATGGAGCCTGGTACCAGGCGTACGACCTCGGCGGGCATGGCAGACTGGTGGGGAATGGTCCGAAAAACTCTGGGGGCGGAGCGAACGCGAAAAGTTCGAGCCCCAAGCTCCTGGACCTGATCAGAAGTGAAATGCTGTGGTTTCCTCGGCCCCCAGAGGCCGAGGACTTGAGCCAAGGAGGAGGAGGAGGAGGAGGAGGAGGAGGAGGAGGAGGAGGAGGA